GTAATTCATTTAATTTAAGTATTATTCCAAGGTCTCCAGAGGTAAGGTGTCTTTTGAACACATGTAATATCAAGAGTGTAAAGAAGAATTAAGATATTTCTCTAGATGCAGAAATAACAAATTTTAACTAAGATGTATCTAGACTTTTCCATATCATGTACAGGTAATCCTCAATTTATGACCACAATTGGTAAACAAGATATGTGACAGCTTTGTTTGGTGACCACAATCCAATATTCCCAATTGTGGTTGTTAAGTGATCTTGTGGGTCATTAAGTGGACCAATTCCCAGATAAGGAGCGGAGGCTCAAGGAGGTGGGAAAGACATGGGAGGTCTATTTAGGAGCTGAAAATCCTCCCTTGCTGAAATCCTAGCAGGTTTTTCAGCCCCTGAATGAAGAAACACTCTTGGCCTATGCCAGGCCTCACAGGGGCTCCTCCAACCATTTGAGGCAGTCCGTGTTCCAGTGGTGGGTTTCAATTTTTTTTACTACCGGTTCTGTGGGTGTGGCTTGGTGGGTGTGGCGGGGAAGAATACTGTAAAATCTCCATTCCCACCCCACTCCAGGGGAAGAATACTGTAAAATCTCCATTCCCTCCCCATTCCAGGGGAAGGTTACTGCAAAATCCCCATTTCCTCCCGATCAGCTGGGATTCGGGACGCAGAGAATAGATGGGGGCGGTCAGAGATGGTATTTACCGGTTTTCCGAACTACTCAAAATTTCCACTATTAGTTCTCCAGAACTGGTCAGAACCTGCTGAAATTCACCTCTGCTGTGTTCCTTACCTACCACACTGCTTCTCTGCATGGATTTTGGCTCCCTATCCTTTTTGGGGGCTGACTAAAAGAGTTGCCTACCAAAGGAATTCAGCTCACTCCATCTCTGCATGGAATGCAGAACAGGGCTTGAATCTTCAGAATTTGTATTCCATTTCTGCACCCCGTCAAGGTAGTTCAGCTGCCCTCCATGTGCAGAAGAGAACTCCCTCGATGGGTGTTTTGTCAACTTTTATGGAATGCAGGAATGGAGCTTGTTTCTGAATTCCACCAAAGCAGCTCAGCTCCCCAGGAACCCTCTTGGCATGCGTCAACAGTTGCAACTGTCTCTACTGACTTTCCCATTGACTTTCTGTGAAAGCCAGCAGAAAAGATTGAAAATGGTGATCACATATTTTCAGGGCACTTGGCAATCAGTCATAAGCGTGAACAGGTTGCCAAACAGCAAGATTACAATGATATGACCACAGAGGATTGTGTGCAACATTTTGGGATGATTGGAGGTGCTTTATTGGCTGTAAAGCACTCTTTCTGAGACTGTTGTAATTCCAAACCATTGTTAAACCAACAGTCATAAACTGAGAACTACATGTAATTAGGAATTCATTTTTAAAGTAGCTTGGAAGGCAAACTGCAGATTTGAGATTTTCAGTCAGTGGTGAGTTGCCCCTGGTTCAGATTGATTACAAGAACCGGTAGTAAAACCGGCAGGAGGCTCCACCCACTGACCCAGACGTCATCCTAGGTGAGAGCACGCAGACGCGGTGCAAACTGGAAGTAAAGATCAGTAGAACCCACCCCTGCTTTCAGTCCATATCTCCAAGAGAGAATGCTGGCTCTTTACTTCATATAGACATTTTTCAGCCGCTTCTGTCCTGGATGTAGGAAAGATTCATGTTTTTAAAAGAAAGAAATCCACAGAATAGAATTATTTCTGGGGAGGAAAACAGGCTTCCTTTGTCTCTTGTTGCAGAACCTATTACTACTTAGAATCTCCAAATTGCTGGAGAAGACCAAAAAATTGAAGCAGAAAGCTATTTGCTTCAGCAAACTTATATCTGTGGAAATAGGTAAATACATAAAGCTAGGTCACTGCACTAAGCCTTTTCTACTTTCTTTTGTATTGTGACAAATCCCATTTTCTTTTTCTCTTTGTACAAGTTACGGGACTGAGTGTTTGATTTTAGGTTTGGTGCATATCTTATAGACTAAGTTCATTAAGATTCTTTTGTTCGTTAAAATCTTCTTTGTAATATTTTGCAGTCAAAAGTCTTTATTCATAGCAGATCAGTCCCTCTTTGTGGTTTGTCTGGAATAGTGTATTTTTTTGTTGACGTTTGCTTTTTGGAAGATTAATTTGCAAGCTGCTCACTTATGACCTGTGCAGTTATACAACTTTCTATTTCTTATATTAAATATTTGCATTTTAATTCTTGCAGGTAAAAAGGGGTAGAGAGTTCTTTTTTTTTTTTTTTACATTTTGTCTCTTTTTAAATAATGAAGCTAGATTTTATTTGTCTCCTGTGAGATTTATCTCCCAGTGGATTGGGAAGAAGGGCAGAAGCTGCAGATACCAGCATGCTGCTTAGCCAGACGATGGCATATCAAAATTATTTCTTGTTTATCTCTTAACATTTAGAAAAGCAACTGACAGATCTCTCATACATATCTGTGTTAGAGTGTGGTAATCATGAGAAGTTTCCACTTAGGGACAGGTGTTAATAGCAGGAAGTACCAAATCAAACAGAAACAGGCATATAGAGAATGGGAGGACTTCTGAGAGAGGAAGTATGGTGTCTGTGGGTTTCACCATTGCTTTAGATTGAAAAGTCTAACTGAACAGTAGCAGCATTTGGCAATGTAAATTTGAAAATTAAAAAAAAATCCAGAAGAAGGCAAGGGCAAATCTTGCTGTTCTGTTGCCAAGAAATGCCTTCTGTTGAGATCCTGGAGATGTCCAGCAGCTCAATAGAAATCGGGATCAGGTTAAAGACGGATGTTTTTTTTTTTTACTGTTTACAAATATAATAGTCTCTCTAGCAACTCAAATATAATTGGTTCAGGGGTGGGTTCCACTTACTTTTGCTACCAGTTCGCAAGGGGAGCACTCGCTCACGTGCGGCGCTTCTGTGCATGTGCAGAAGGTTCTGTGCATGTACCGAACATCCGTGATGACGTCCAGGTGGGTGGGTGGAGCCTCCCGCCACCGTTACTACTGGTTCACAAGATCCAGACTGAACCGGTAGCAACCCACCACTGAATTGATTAAACTTGTAATTATAGAATTGCAAAATATCAAGGTTGGAAGAGACCTTGGAAGTCTTCTAGTCCAACTCCCTGCTCAAGCAGCAGACCCTGTACCATTTCAGATAGGTGGATGTCCAATTTCTTCTTAAAAACCTCAAGCAATGGAGCACTTGTAACTTATGATAAATTCATAATAAAAGTCAAGTTAGCATTAGAAATTGGTTGTATAAATAACCACAACTGAATCTAAAACAAGTATTTCATATACATTTTAGTTTTTGAGCTGAAATCATCACATGATTTAGCAAAATAAATCAGTTGATACAGAAAGAAGTGGTACAATTAAAATGCGCTAGATATAATGCCAAGATTTATACTTTCCAAACATGGGATTTATTTTTCCCCATTCTGGAAAAAGTCCAATAGCTAAGTTTGGTCTATACAACATCACTGGTTGAAAGTCTGTTCAACTTAATGCAATCTAGCAATAATTGCCTATATGTTATAATTAAATAATAAAGCAATTAATGTATACTGCTTATATAAATAAGTATATATTCTTCCATTTGGAAATGAAGTGTCTCATCAAATTATTTGAAAAACCCTACCATTCAGCCTCCAAAAGTCAACACCAAAATTTTGAATTTGTCTCAAAAACTAATCAGCAACTAGTCTCGTTAAGACTGGAGTCATATTTAATATATTTGATGGTGTGTGATATCCATTGCATAGTATAAATTAAATAACCCTTGCTTGATTTTTTAAAAAAGGAGTTAAAGTTGATTCAAAACATTAGGCAGCTTACAAAAAAGATGGGAATTTATTTCCTAATACTTACTTTGTGATTTTTTTTAATTGTCTGAATATATTCTAATAGTACCTGTTGGGATCTCCAAAATTGTGCCCTTTTTAATGGTATTTACAATTAGTCTTTACTTACCACAATTAGGACCAACAACTCCATTATTAAGCAATATGTCCATAAACAACATGTGAGAGTATCCAATTTATCCCAAAAAACTAAAAACTGGACTTTCTTGGTGTTTCTTGAAGACATTTCACTTCTCATTTAAGAAGCTTCTTCAGTTCTAACTATGTGATGGGAAACAAAAATGATTTATACTCTTTGCAGTCAGCCACTCTGATTCAGGTAACTGAGGAAACAGATTAACTCCCAGGTAGTTTCAGTGCCCTCAAGAGTGTTAAGGACTGGCTGACTGCAAAGAGATTTCCTTTCACCTGAAGAATGGAGAAGAAGCTTCTTGATGAGAAGTGAAAGACTTCATGAGAAATAAGAAAGTCCAGTTGTCTTTTTTAAAGCACCTTTGGAACAATCATGACATGGATGACTGAGAAGCTCCATAGACAATGCCCAACTTACAGCATCAGTTCTAGTTGTGGTTGTTAAGTGAATCACCTGTGGTCATTAAGTGCTGTATCACATGACCACATATGTGATTTCTGGCCAGCTTTGCTTGTTGGAATTTAGCCATAAAAGTCACAAATGGGACTCCATGTGGAAGCTGGGACAGCCACAAGCTCAAGGACCAAGTTCTAAATGTCCCTTTTAAGCACCATGGTAACTTTGAATAATTCCTGAACAAATAGTTGCTAAGCAAGGACTACCTGTATAAGTTTGGTAAATATACAAAAATGTTTAAGAAATTATACTGTCAGGGACAATGAATCAGAAACATTTGTAAGGTTGCAGCATAGAAATTTATCCAAGACTATACATAAGACTCTGGTCAACTAAAGTTCAACACTACATTAGCACCAGATAGCGATCAACAGAATTCAGGAGGAATTGAACCTGGAGCACTTGTGGGAATGCAAGGATTCTAAACTGATGAAATGTTTAACTTCGCCCTCTGGCTGCTTACTCTTCTATACTTACTGCATCTCAAAATGGTTTCTTGTCTCAAATATATTGCTGTTTCAAAACAATTTTCTCATAATGAACCTTCTTTGCAGTTGGTTTCAAAAGAGAGGATGGCGATCATATACAGAGAAGCCCAAGGCGATTTCCAAAATCCAAGATTTTAGATGATCCTGAAGATTCAACCTTTTATGCTCTTCTACAAGTAAGCAGTAGTTTTAAATGGTGTGGTTAAAAAGCCACTGTTTTTACGAAAGGAATGCTTAATATTTCTGGCCTTTGATTGACACGCATAAATACCCTGTTGGAAGAGTGGAATTACAAAAACTGAAAATGGTGCCCACAGTTGTGTGAGTGAAATCTGCTTTGGATAGTAAAAGGTGACATATGGTTATGAATGCCATCTTTCTTTCTTTCTTTCTTTCTTTCTTTCTTTCTTTCTTTCTTTCTTTCTTTCCTTCCTTCATTCCTTCTTTCTTTTCCTTCTTCCTTCCTTCCTTCCTTCCTTCCTTCCTTCCTTCCTTCCTTCCTTTATTTATTTTTGGATCTTCCTACTAATCATGGCTGGTGTCAGGCCAAAGGATGCATTTCCAAAAATACAGGTGGAAGACTACAAACGATGGAACCAAAATGATATAATTACTCAAACTGAATTAAAATTCATAAAATAAAATTTAATAGGATTACTTGCCATATACTTAATAATTTACTTCCTTTATACATTAAAATTTTTAATTCTGTGGTGACTTCTGGTAGTGCACAACCTCTGGAATTAATTCTGGAGGGTTTAGGGAACTGCAAATAATACCATAACTCCGGTTGCTCAGCCTAAGGTCTTTCAGGAAGCCCTTAATTCATAACAAACTTCGTTTATTCAGTTTGACTTTATTTAGGATCTAAATGAGTTTTCTTGTTAGTTTTGATAAAATAAAATCTTTAAATCAGTACAAGAAAGCTTTTGATTCAAAATCATTTCTAGATTCACCGTTGGACCCAGAATAAAGTGGTGCATTGTACATTGCAATTTGTACATCAATGTCTTTTCCCAGACAAGTGCAGAGAAATGGTATAAGAGGTCTTCTCGCCCATTTATGTATGACATTGTAATCTTTTAGTTAATTCCCATGTGATTATTCATGGCTGCTTTCCAGATCTGACCTTAATGCAGTTAAAAATAGAAAAAGGGACTTTGGGAAATAGCAATCTAGTATGTCAAAGAGAAATTGAAGGAGCTGTTTTCCTACTTCCCTCTTAAAAGCAATTAAGCCTACTTGCTGGAGGCATATGCAAACTATTGACCTACTTAGCAGCAGGTGACAAAATACATTTGCTTAGTCAGCCTGCCTCAGTGGCTACCATTCAACCGAAATGATAACAGACTAGTTGCAAAAATGAAGGTGGTTCTAGATATTTTTATCTAGAAATTCTTATCTTTGCCTGAGGCAGGCTAAGAGGCTTGGAGCAGCTGTTGCTTTTAACATTATTCGCTCCCTCTTTTTTGTGACATCTATGACAACATAATGTCACATATTTATGCAGTGCATTTCTCCTCCCCGCTGAGTCATGAAGCAAGGCAGCATCACATCCAGAAAGAAAAATAAAAAGATGTTGAACTGTGACAAAAGCTTCTAGGTGTCTTTCAGTGCCTTGTTCCACCTGCTCATAAGTGGTATTTGGAAAGGCTTCCAAACCTTCCAAAGGCTTCAACCTTAAGAGGAATTCCCAGTAAGAATGGCCTTAACTAGAATGATAGGGTATTCCATAAACAGATATGGAGGCTTCTTGTTCTGCTTCAGGTGTTTTTCTTTATGTCAGTTCCAGTGGTGAAATTCAGATTTTTTTACTACCATTCTGTGGGCATGGCTTGGTGGGCATGGTGTGGCTTGGTGAGCATGGCAGGAGAAGGATACTGCAAAATCCCTATTCCCTCCCCACTCCTTGGGAAAGGATATTGCAAAATCTCCATTCCCACTCCACTCCAGGGAAAGGATACTGCAAAATCCCCATTCCCTCGCCATTCTGGGGCCAGCCAGAGGTGGTAGTTGAATTACTATTCTCTGAACTACTCAAAATTTCCACTATTGGTTCTCCACAACCTGTCAGAACCTGCTGGATGTCATCCCTGGTCAGTTCCTTAGATATTGTGACACTTCTACCCTATTACCCCAGTCCTTCTTTTCATTAAATTAGGATATACCCAATTCCTTCAACCATTCTTCATATGCCTTAACTTCCAGATCTGATCAACTTTGTTGCTCTTCTCTGCACTCTTTCTAGAATCTCAACAATTTTTTTTACAATGTGACAACCAAAATTGGATGCAATATTCCACATATTATCTTACCAAAGCACTATAAATTGATACTAACACTTCACATGATTTTTATTTTATCTGTCTGTTGATGCAGCTTAAAATTAGCTTTCTTTGCTGCTGTAGCACACTGCTGGCTCATATTGAAGTGATTGTCTTCTAGGACTGTTAAGGTCCCTCTCACAATTCCTACTCTTGAACCAGATACTACCTATTCTATACCCATGCATTTGGTTTTTCATGCCTAAGTGTAGAGCCTTTTTTTTTCACCACTGAATTTTATTTTGTTAGATAGGGCCCAGTGTTCAAGTCTGTCAAGATCCTTCTTTTTTAAGCCTATTTTCTGCAGTGTTTGGCTATTCCTGTCAGCGTGATGTTATCTGCATATTTGATGAGTTCCTTTCTATCCCCTCATCTAAATTGTATTATACATTTTAGATTACTGTCAGTCATCACTAAAGGATTTTTCAGGTTTTAGTCCTATTTTCAGTGCTTTAAACTGCCTTAACTGGCATTACATCAGAACTATTTATTCTACAGGGTCATACTGTAATCATGGTACTACCATATCTACTCTACACCTATTTCATTCTATATCCCATTCATTTCCTTCTTGGAAGAAGTATAGCAGAAATCAAAGCTAAAAACAAAAATAGATTCTCTGAATCTGAAATACAGATTAGCCATAAAGCAACCTTGAAATGCGTTGGAATTACAGTGTTTAAAGTTGGGCAGGAATTGTAGACTTTAGCATTTTGGGGAGAAGGAAGCACGGTTGGGGAAATACGGATCCTGCGTTTTCAGTATTTCATAAAGGTTTTAAATGATGAAATGTACAAGATTAAGAATAAAGGCTTTAAGTTTCAGCATTGCCCACTGTTAGAAACTGTTAGAAAAAGAAAAGAGGAGACAATTATTACATTGATTGTTTGTTTATGTGCATGAAATAAAACTGTTAAAATACAAAACATCTAACATAAAAGTCCTGTTTATAATAAAACTAAGCATAAGTGTAGTGGTTAAGGTGCTGCCATAGAAACCAGAAGACTGTGAGTTCTAGTCTGGCCTTAGGCATGAGAGCCAGCTGGATTACTTTGGGCTAGCCATTATCTTTCAGCCCAACTAACCTCACAGTTTGATGATGTGGAGGAGAAAGTAGTAGTATATATATTGATTGCCTTGAGTTATTTATAAAAGTAATAAATATGGGATAAAAAATGAAATAAATAACATTTAACAGATTAATAGAGTTGGAAGGGACCTTGCAGGTCATCAAGTCCAACCTCCTGCCCAACACCCTACATCTGCCTCTACCTAGGATCGAACTCACAACCTCCTGATTGTGAGACAAGAGCTCCACGTTTTAGTTCAGATACAGAAAGTTCTGACATAATTTTTATAGTAAAGAATTTAACCACATAAATAGGATTTATAAATATTGTTCATTTAATAGGAAATGCACAGTGGCCTATTCTGGCCAGCTCAAGTGATTTGTGATTCTAGAGAATCACATCTTACAACTTCCAGAAACAATAAATTGGACAATTCAGAAGTGCATGTGCAATTGATTCAGTTTCAGTGTCACGACTATATATAAAGGCTCCTAGTGTAGAATATTATCAAATCTCTCAGTGAACACCATCAAGGTCAGGACATCTAAGTATGTCAGTATAAACAGCCTTCTGTGGAAGGACACAAGTTATGATAAAATTACTTGGGAATAATAAGAAGCAGATCAGTAAGTTCATTGTAGCAGAGGTGTGAGATATCAATTCTATCACTTAATTATCCAATTCATCCAGATAATGTTGGAAGTGATAACATCAATAAACCTTTACGTTTCATTCAAAATAAAAAACAACAAAAATGCTAAGTGCTCCATCACAGTGCATCAAAACGTTCTCTGCTTTACTTCATTCCACATGTTTCTGAGAGCCACCTGTATGTGGATTGAGGGTAAAACACAGTGAAACAAATCAGGTATCATTTGTTCTTCTGTGAGAAAAACTTTGTCTGTCTAGCAGTATAAGCTGGGCCAAAAAATCACTTCAGTGTATTTGGGCTAGTACTTAAACAGGCAAAGTTTCAAACAGGCCTCAGCAGAAGTACTCTGTAGAACAAGTTCTAGCTGAAGAAATGCGTTTTCTGTTGAACAAGGAACTCTGAGAATAAATCTTAGAAATTTAGATTGAATTATTTCTACTGTGGCAATATCATTGTACATGCATTACTGTGCACCTTAGAACAGAAGGCTTATTACCTTGGCTTTAAGTAATTTAAATGCTACCAGCATGTAATTATTCCCTAGTATCGCTTGCCTACCTGTTTAATGCAATAGAAGCTTTTTAAACTTCTGCCATGGTTTCAAGACTGAAATTCCAGCATGCTAAAGACTGAAATACATGCCTAGGTACTTGACAGTTTTAACTTGCTCAATTTGGTTATTCATTTCTAATTATGAGAGCAATAGATGGAATGCTTCGTAAATAAAGCCACCTTTGTATATGCATTAGATTGAACTGGGAGCCAGAAACTGAAGGTGGAATTTGGATTGACAAGGGCCTGTATAATTCATTAATTAAATTTCGTGCCATAATTTATTCTTTGTAATGTTTTCATGGAACATCATCATTAGCCATGGAAGATTATAGAAGTGGCTAAATGGTAAATAGGGGGAGAGGGGCCATGATGGCTTAGTGGTTAAGATGCTGAGTTTGTCAACTTGAAACAGCCTGGGTTTGAGACCTGAGTATCATGCAACATTCACCCCAGGTTGAAAGCAAGCAACTGTGAGTAGATAAATAAGTACCACTTTGGCAGGAAAGTTACTGCATTCCATATTTTCATGTTGGCCACATGATGATGGAAACGTCTCTCAGACAATGCAGCCTCCCACAGTTGAGAATCAGATGAGCACCAACCCCTTGAGTCAGTCACGACAAAACAGGGAATCTTTAAGCCTTTTAAATGGTAAAATGAGTCAGCCTTAAATGAATCTAAAGCTTTATGTTTTAAACGCATTATTAGTTCAGTGCAGAAATGCTTAAAACTAACCCTCTGTCTGCTCAGAATTCCTATTCCAAATCATCTAAATTTTGGTTTGTCAGGGATGTCTGTGCTAAGGCCTAAGTAATTCTTGCTTGCAAAGCTGCAAGGGGTCAAAATAATTATCATTCTCAGGATTTATTTTACTCCTTGAAAAAGGAGAACAGATTTCTCCTCAGAAGGAAGATTCCGGTAAACCAATTGGCTGAATGGGACACATTTATTCAATCCAGGGCTTTATAATCTTGGCAGCTTTATGATGTGTGGACTTCAACTCCCAAAATTCCTAAGTGAACATGTTTTCCCTTCTGATGATAGACAGACTCTAAGCAGATAGTGATGGAAGTTATGATTATACAGTAAGTGCCCCGGCCTCACTTCCATTTCCCAAAACAGTCAAGTGATTGAAATGTAATCGTCTTTCAGTGTATACACACTAGAAATGCAGATTTTGGGATAAATTGGGATTCAAAATTGGGATAAATTGGTATACAAAACTTACATTTAAGAGCAATTGTGTAAATTATTAGAAATTTGCAGATTGATACACAGGTAGACTAAACCAGATTAGTATTGACCATAAACTGACAACGATCAGATTTATAGTAGTCCTTATTTATGGATATTAATGAGAAGTAAATTGATACTGTTTAATGTGTACAATGTTTTATCATGTTGATGTTCATTTGAAATATTTTTTCAGAAATTCTCGTCTATGCAAGATGAAAGGCGAAAAGCAAGAAGTAACAGGTAATTGTCTTCTCAGTAAGATGCAGCAATATTGTGAGGTAATAACAGGAATACATTGAAATTGAAGAAAAAAATGGTATGTAGACTAACTGAGGGGTGTAGACCCAACAGTAGGGGTATCTGTTAAAAGAGGAGTATATTGTTGCAACTGGACATCTGTTTAGTGATGTTGTCATACAACCAATCCCAAATAAAAGCTTCAATTTATCCTCTAGAATTTTCTTTGCTAAGCTAGGTTAAGTGAGTTGCACCCAATTTTACTACCTTTTTTTGCCATAGTTATTAAACAAATCATTGCAGTTGTTAAGTGAATCACACCGTCATTAAATGAATATGGCTTCTATTCACTTTGCTTGTCAGAAGTCAGCTGAGAAAGTTGTAAATGATGATCACATGACCTCAGGATGTTGCAACCATCATAAATACATGCAGTTTGTCAAGCATTTGAATTTTGATGACCTGATCATGGGGATGATGCAATGATCATAAGTGCAAGGGCCGGTTGTAAAGTCCTTTTTTGAGTGCCATTGTAACTTTGAACAGTCACTAAACAAATGATACATATCATCATGCAAAATATTCAAATCACTATAGAATTTGGTCCATAGTAGTTGTATCCATTGAATCGATATCCAATAAATCAAGATTCCACTGTTGACATGACACGTTAACATTGCTAATTGGTGAACATTTATTCTTGAATTTTGAAACCTTTAGTTTATTCATGCATTATAGTTTCCTAGTGTCACTTGTCCATAAATTGGAGAATATACTAAATCCAAACAAAATACTGAACGTTTTTACATTTCCATTTTATTGCAAGTAAATTTTCATCTCATTTCATCCATATAAGTTTTCCTTCTGAAAATAAATAGTAGAGCAGGAGAGTGAAATTTGAATCAATGACATGACACTGGGGAAAAAATGTTGGACTTTTTCTTTTAGACACTCATTCAGTTCATGGTCCTGATACCCATAGACACCTGTTTTTACATTACATTGGTGCATTCAAGAAATAGCAAGCAAATACAAAGTAACGCTTGCTACATAAAACTACTCTCACTTTCAATTCACTTCTTGATGAAGGTCTCATTATTCCCTGAAACAACCATATTATGTTTATTTCAAGTAGCTGTATATGTTTTGCATTTTGGATAGACTCTATCAAGCCTATAGCAAATAAAAAGAATCCAGTGCCATGGATTGTAAATAGGAGGTACCTTGTGCTACAGTTAGTCTTCAGTTTAAGAACCTTCCCAAAATCTGTCCTTCAATTGAACTTCTATGTAAGCTGGAACAGTATTACAGGTCCTCAGTTTACAATCATAATTAAACTTGGAATTACAGTTGCAAGTTGAGTCAGTTATTAAGCAGGTCACTATGTGATTGCATCCAATCTTGCAACCTTTTTTGTGAATGTCACTAAATGAATGCCCTGGATATTAAGGAAATCCACTGTCTGCAATTTTTTTTTTCTTCTGAAAACAGGAAGTAAATGCCGGTTTCTAGCAAAAAATAACATTGTAAATTTTGATCACATGACCCCATGACACTGCAAATGGCCATAAAGGCAAACAAGTTTCCAAATGCCCAAATTGCAATAACATGATCACAACGGTTATCAGAACTTTGATTCTGGGTCACAAGTATCCCTAGTCCATCAGAATTTCATTGCTAAGTGACCAATCATAAATCAAGGACTATCTATATTGTATAATACTATATACGTGGTATTGTTTGCTTAATCTGAATCATTGTGTATTTAACTTGAATTTTGCAACAATAGGTTCCATTATTAATTACATGCCATTACATGCCATCTAGTGGTGAAGTCTAAAATTTGTCACTACCGGTTCTGTGGGGGTGGCTTGGGGGGGTAATGTGACTGGGTGGGTGTGGCCAATTTTTTTTTTTTTTACTTTTAAAACCATTTTTTTTACAACCTCTTCAGCAAAGAGGTTGTAAAAAAATGCTTTCAAAAGGCTCTGACAATCCCAGCTGAGTTGCCTGATTGGCAGAGGCTTTTTTTCTTTTAAATGCCTCTGACGATCAGGCAACTCAGCTTAGATCTTCAGAGGCATTTAAAAGAAAAAAAGCCTCTGCCGATCAGGCAACTCAGCTGGGATCCTCAAGAGGCTTTTAAAAGCATTTTTTCTACAACCTCTGAAGAAGTTATAGAAAAAATGCTTTTAAAAACCTTTGAGGATCCCAGCTGAGTTGCGCGATCATCAGAGGCTTTTTTTTTTTTACTTTTAAAAGCATTTTTTCGGCTAAAGAGGTGGTAGAAAAAATGCTTTTAAAAGTAAAAAAAAAAAGCCTCTGACGATTGTGCAGCTCATCTGGGCATGGCGGGGGGCAGGGATTTTGCTACCGGTTCTCCGAACCACCCGCCTCCATCACTACCAAATCAGGCGATCCGGTCCGAACCGGGAGCATTTCACCCTTGATGCCATCCATAAATTGGGGCGTTCTTAATCCAGGCACTTGCTTACTAAAATCAAGCTCTCTCTTTCATAATGAGTGTTAAACATATGCACAGTGATTATTTCTGTGCTCTTATTGATCAATATAAGCTATTCATTTATTTCTCAGCCTGACATAGCCCTGATAATGTCACTTTCTTAGTGATATGGCAAAATGCTGGAGTCTGAATTTAAATCTCTTGCAGCCTAGGCTTAGTGGAAGCCTTGCCTGCAAACTGCAGTGTCGGTGCACAGCGATGTTAAATACATAAATCCTTCTAAATAGGGGCTTATAAAGACAGGCCTAATGCACTTCAAATTATATCAGTAGAAATGGCGTTTCAGAAAATTGCCCAGTAATTGTAGAACCTTATAGTATGGAACAGCTTTGAAATACTAACTTGTGCATACTTCCTATCAGTATTGAATGGGGCATTTAGAACTCTGGACTTTTTTTTTTTTTTTTTACTTACAGTAAGACTTGGTGTAACATAAGAAGCCTATCCTTCTATGGTACAAAATGCTTTTGTTATGTGCAATCCAGGGTTACCAGTTACCAGCTTCTCAAGTGCCAATTGTATGTGATATTTCACATGCCTTTTCCCTGCATTTTTTTTCCAATCAGTTGAAATCTCTTCTAACATCTCTCTCATATTGTCACTGGAACCTCGCAAAATTTCAGCATTCTAGAACAGTATCTGACAAAAGTTCAACATGTCTGTGAGATCTTGAAAGGTTTCAGGTTGAGTGCCTAAGATTTAGGGCAACTGGAGTCCACATATGTCCTACTGCCAGCAAGAGTTTCTTGCCTAACCTAGTGAAGTCCAAAACAGCTAACATTGTGCCAACCGCTTCTCAAAACTTTAGCTGCCATTGGCTGTGTTCAGAAATAATTAAGTCTATAGTCCTTTAGTTGTGACTTGGATTGTGCTTTAAAATTGCAGTCTTAAATATACTTATTGGCTTATAAAAACATAAGGAAGGTGAAATTTTAAATAAACACAGAATTGAGCTGAATACGTCACTTGTGAAATATAAAAGGGAATCAGCATTGCCCTTAAAATAATTTGAGCCAGGATAATTTATCTACTTTTATTGTGGAAGTTGCTTTCCTTTTGCCCTTTGTAGCTTTGTAGCTTTACAGATAAACTACATAACAAAGAGGTAATATTTCTATAGGAGTCAATCTCTTTTAGTTGATAAGATGGTACATAATACATTTTGGTTTAGTTTATTAATATATGTAGTAGTAATACATGTATATATATATATTACTATATATAGTAGTAATATATGTATATATATTACATATACATATGTAATATTTATTTTGATAGTCTGGGCAGGATACTGAATATAGAAGATCGGTACTACCAAGAGTTTTCATCTACTGATTTCGTCTCAAAGGATAGAAATGCCAGCACAAGAGAAAAGAATCTCCTGCAAGACCCTATCTCTGCAACATTAAGGAGTGCTGAAGGGTGAGCAGTTTCTCCAAAAATTAGTATCTTAATATTTACCAAGTTAAATAGGGGCATGTTGAACTTTTCCTATTTAAGAAGTCTTCCAATACAACCAGTAACTTAGATTGGGGTCATACAGATCATCATGAAATGGAAGCTATAACTAACTTAATTTAAGAATGCAAATGGATTTATTTGTTTAAGTAATTCACATTCTGTTCTCCAAGGATGTCAGCAGCTCATCATGACATAATTCAAAAACACATACCCAGACTAACTAAAATTGCATTTTCAAAATTTAGATCCCATTGAGTTCACCAGAAGCCTGTTTTTAATTGTACATGTTGTAGAATTGTACTTATTTTCCCCGAAAATAAGACCCTGTCTTATATTTTTTTTAACCCCGAAATAAGCACTTGGCCTTGTTTTCGGGGAGGTCTTATTATTTGGGGGCGTCTGGAGCAAGATGAGGCTCCCCTTGCTGTCTTACCTGATTTCCAGCTCTGCATTTAAATATTTTCGGGAAGGACTTAATTTCAGGGGGAGGCTTATTTTAGCGCATGCGCTCAAAAGTCCGATTGGGCTTATTATCAGGGGATGTCTTATTTTCAGAGAAACAGGGTAGATCCATTAGTTGTGCAGCAGAATCTGTATAAAATTCTTGAATAAAGCTAGGTCTTCCAAGTAGATGTGTAAAGGATGAGAGTGCTTAATCATAAGTCAGGATGGCCATAAGTCATATTGATGTGTATAGCCAGTTTTTCTAATGCTCTCTTTATTCCCTTCAAAGGCCTTTGAAACCAATAAACCTCTTTCTCTTATTTGAAGTTCAGAGAGGCAGAAGATAAATGCAGCCTCATAAGAAAATGTGACATTTCTCACAGTAGATTGTTTGACTTAGAAATTAGAGAAGCTGATACGGAATATTACATGATTGTTTGAGTAAGGAAGTAAAACTCATCAAAGAAGAACAGTTATATCTGGCTTCTTCCAGGGTTATATAAAGGAAGAATTTTGTTATTGTATAACATGGTTATCCAAAATGTTATTCCTTTGATTAAAATATTGATATAATTTTAAAATTAAATCTGTCTGTTGGCCTGGGGTAACTGGGTATGGCTGATGGGGATAGAGAGAAGATTCCCATCTGTGTATGCCTGTCCCTTTGGTTTTTACTTTCTTATTTAACCTTTCTAATTTTAAGTACTTTGTATTGTCTTTTTTATTTTTTATTATTTTGCGAGCCACCCAATGTTGCTGTAACAGTGACATGTGTGGCATATTAAACACATACATACATACAGCAGGGTGTTTGCCATCAAGTGAAATAGACTTAGTTCTCATTTACACACTTACAGTTTTTAAAGTTTTTGTGGGTAAGGGTTATCTTCATCAGATGGTTGATGCTGGCAGCTTGCAGATTCATGGACACTATAATTGCTGTATATCCCATCTACCAAATGTGGATAACTCATGTTTCATCTGATGAAAAGGGATTTAGGTCCAAGTGCCAAAACTTTTTATTTTCACATGCACACAACACACATACACATGCACACACACTTATTCTTTGTTTGTTTGTTTCCAGGATTTCTCTCAATGGAAATCTCACAGGTTGCAAATAAACTTTTAGAATTTCATTAACTATGCAAAGCCTTGTTAGCTAAATCACTATTCTCAGGGATTTCATCATTTGCAGTATTAGAACTGGCATTTATTCTGGTATTTGTCAGTAAAACAAAAGTTGCAGCTACACTGCAACTACATAGAGTGCAGCTAGAAGCTTGGTGCACTTAAATAGGCACCCAAAGGTGCTTTTTCAAGAAGGCAACTAGACTTCCTGAAACCAGAAAGTCCAGTTGCCTCTTGAAAAAGCACCTTTGGGACAACCATGACCTGGATGACTGAGAATCTCCATGGACTTAAATAGGTACATTTTGGTATGTCTAACAGCTAGCTACCCTATGTAACATTTGTCCAGTAGATACAAATTGCTGAACAAAGCTAATTGTGTACTAGCCATTTCCTGACCCAATGTTAAGATACTACTTTTCACTGTGACTTTAAGATATCTGCAAAATCAAGAAACCTGTAAGTTTCTTTATGGTCAGCTGATTGTGATTGATACATGCATGCTCATTATCTATCATTATGAGATCAGATAATGATTTACATGTATAAACAGTTTTGCACTAGAACATTCATGTATTCTTAAACACCATCATTTCCCAAAAGCCTGGGATTGGAAAGACTCAACTGATCATATGATCCAATTGCCTGTTATAAAACAAAATATCTGTAATCTGAAAAAAACAATGACCCCCCCAAGTTCTCAAACTGAAGATAACAACATTCAGCTAAGAAAACAAATGGACACCAGAGCGGCTCTCAAGTAGTTCATTCCTATTTTTTTTTCTAACACTTCCATGTAATCCTTTTTAATTGGTTACTTCATGCCCATTGAATAAAACATCGTCTTTATTTGACATTCCCTCACACATAGCACATTTCCCCTTGCCGCAAAAGGCAATATTTTGTCAGAGTGAAAGAACTGGAAATTTTCTTTCCCCTGAGGGTAGAGTTAAGCAGTCAGTTAATAGTGTATACTGAGGTAAATATTTTGATTTACCCTTTCTAAAATGTTTCTGTAATGTAATCCATAGGCCAAAGGTCCCTGGGATCCCGCTGAAAGAGAATGAAGATGAAGATTATCCTTTTGACTACCAAAAGCTACTCCGGAAGACTTCTCAACGCAGGCGCCTTCTTCAGAAATATTAGCAGCTGCTGCTACTGTTTGTTCTTCTTCTTCAGCAAAATCTCTGCTTTTTTTCTTATTGTTTTGTTTTGCTGGGGGGCGTATGGAATTCCCATATCCTTTTCTTTTGAATAAACCTCCTACATACATATATTAGCTGTGTATTTGGGTATATGAATATGCTATCTTAGCCTCTTTCCAAAGGGAGACACTAGGCTTTGTTATAATGTTTGTTTGTTTAAATATGCAAACAGATATGAAAAATATTGCTCTCCTGTACTATCTCTAACTCTTAAGAGTTCGTTTTGGAGGGAAGGGGAAGTACATTATTTTTCATTTTGTTTTACTATATGTTTTGCATAGCTTTATCTACATAGTGAGATTGCTTATGATCTGCCTGGATCTTTGAACCTTTCACTTACATATTATGGTTCAGATGAAGTTAGTTTAATTAATGTAAATGGATAAGGAAATAAGCCTTGAATGTTAAAAGATTGGGGGCTATAGTGGAGGCAGTGCAGGTAATTTAAGAAGCAACTTTATTGTGAGAACCAACTTTCAAATGAGCATATGGACATATGGACATGATAAACACATACGTGTAAAACGTGGCCTCTGTTTGTAGCTGTGACAACTAACCATCATCATTCATCATTTTGGTAGGCATTGTATTCAAGCAAAAAATGTTGTACATCAGTTAAGCCCTTTTGTGGGTAGAGAAACAATGATTTCAGAGGGGAGAACTATAGGGGGGATTTGTATCCTCTTCCTACAAATCTGGTAATTAGAGGTTCTTTCCTTTAAAAAAAAACCTTTAGTTTTCCTCTACTGTGATAGCAAAATACAGTACAGATTCATTTATTTTGCCCTGGTTGTATTAGAGCAAAAAAAAATCATGTGCTTCATAGTGATTGTGTTGTTGTTGTTTTGCATGAGTAGTTCAAAATTGACTTGTAGGGTCTCTGCACAGTGGGAAAAATTATTTTCTCTCATGTTTTGACCAGATTATCCTGCAGCCACTAGCTCAAATGGTTATGGTGTAACAAAGACATTTTACATAATGCCACTTTCGTAAATGGAATATACATATACTATTAAAAAGAGAAATTGTGAAATTACAGCCACGCCATCAAGTTCTTTGTAGTAACTAAAATTACAATCCATATAAATAATAGCTTTGGTTTTCATTAGTATAGTGACTGTGTTAAAAGGCAAGAGACAAGCACAATGAACTGGGAAATGCATTGGGAATTTGTGTGCACGCGTGCGCATGCACTTGTAATTGTGTTTCTGTATGTGTGGATGTGTGTGTGTGTATTGCCTTCCTAATGTGTATTTTGGAAAGATGTATTCATGGCCTATATTATTACAACATTACAGGGTATAAAGCTAGGAGAGATGATGACTACATCTACTAAAAATCCTATAGAATTGTTGAAATTAACGAGGTTACGTCTCAGTCCAAACTATTTTGGGATTTGATTTTAGGACCAATGAGAACAAAACATCGAAGATCGTCTTGCACTACTTTGAAGCCCATTGTGATTTTTCTGTTACTTGCTCATCCACAGGAAGAAATCTAAGCCAGTTCTGCCCTTGTGAAGAGAGACTAGCTTTTTCCCTCTAGCCAATTTAAAAGGCAAGCGACTCCTGCTTCAATGAACTGAGACATGAACTAGCCCTGAGATAAATAAGACTCTGCAGTGTCTGTGTTACAGATGCCCATCAAAGGCCTCCATGTTCCATGTACAAACAAAGGAAGAGAGACTGGCCCCATAGCTTCAAATCTGCTTTCCCCAAGAGGAAACAGCTTTCCCCACAAGCAGATTTGAAAATGACCACATCCTTAATATGGGACATTAAAAAATCCTTACCAGGATAGTGTGACCTCTAACATTTCTGAGCATGTGGTTTTGCTGGCAACAGTATGTCAAAAATTTGCCTTGCTTTCTTCCACCCTTCCCATTGGGCCTCTTCCCTTGAATGTCCTGAGAATTTCTAAATACTAACCAGATCCCACCTAACTTAGTTTATTTTCAAGCCAAAGTCAGCTAAGACTGCCATAAGAGATGGGCAATTAAAATGCAAAAACTAAGAGTAAAATTAGAGATTATTTTAATTGGATGCTTTGAAATCAATGCTTGGATTTTGTTTTTCATTTGCTATAAAGGGGAAGATGATCACATTTCAAATGGGGAATTTTATCCCAGCCTAAATGTAAGCATGCTACAAAGAAACAACGCCTGTGCAAAAATATGTCAGTTGGGGGAGAGGAAGAGGGCTCCTATTAACACTGAGAATAGAAGGACTCAGTTTTCATTCTGATCACAGCTGGCATGGAAAAAGTACCCTGTTGCATGATTTGAGCCCAAATGTGATTGCTCAAACTCAGTTGGAACGGGCAGAAAATGTACTGACCTCAAATGGCATTAGACTAACTCCAATTAATCCTGATCAGGACCCATGGTGGGACTTGTGAGTAGTCTAGAATGCCTCACTTCCAGCCACTCCAGAGTTGGTGGTAAATGCCTGCAGCATAGCTTGACAGAGAAACTAATGAATTTGTCTCTGCCGTTCATTAACTCACAAATCTGTTTTTCAACCAGCCAGCTGAGGTCCTTGCTCATGCTACCTGTCCATGGACACAAGCCAGGGACTTGAACAGGATAAGAAGATGGCAGACAGTAGCTACCAAGATCAGTTTCCCTATAGGGAATGCTTCCCCGTTTCTTCACTACTGTGGAGGCAAAAGATGTCACCAAATTATACTCTCTCTGTATGAGAAGCATTGATGTTGATTTTCTCTGTTCAAGTACACATTTTTTGTCTTGGAGCCGTGCATTTTGATTCCGGCAGACAATGTATTCACTGCCTCTCTAAGAATACTGTGAAATCAGTTCACCAACAGGGCATCTTTGATGTACATCAACAAATTAATTGAAAGCTATTATCTGCCTGCAGATACCCCAGAGATAAAGCACACTCCAGGCAAGATTTATCGCCCCTCCAATATGCTTCCACATTTTTCAGTTGGCTAGATGATAATGGGAGCTGAAATTCAACAGCTCTGGAAGATACCAGGGTGGGGAGACTTCTAGCTCAATATCTTGAGCATGTTATGATCTAATTTATCTTAAAAAGAAAAACAGACAGCAGTGTCAACCAATTCCATCCAAAGCATAGAAAGAAAGCTGATGGAAAGCTGTAGTGTTTTCACGTATTGAAGGTTTGGCCTTCTTCCCTTCCCATCCCCTCTTCCATGTATATATTGAGCTGAAGAGTTCAGGAGCAGGCATAATCAATAGGACGGCAAAATAAGAATGGTGTGTGTGTCAGAAGGAAGAGAGATAAAGGACCTATATAGCATTTGTTTTTCATGCTGATTGCCATCACTGAGGATGTATGTTTCCCACACTGCTGCTTCTGCTTGGCTCACAAGCCACAAAGAAAGCAGAAATTGTCTGAACTGTCTCATAAAGTGGCTAAATGCTTGAGTTGGTCCTATGACACATGAAAATTATGATCCTGGTCATACAAGGATTCCTGACTGGTGGTTGTCAGATTTTTTTAATGCAGTCTCCAAGGCTTGTTTTAAAATAGAAAACAGATGGCCAGAAACTTTCTTCTGACATAGAGGAACAGACAAACCAGGCAAATTGGCAATGGAGAGAGATTTGCCCTACTCTACTGTTAGCTATAGCATCACTAACTGAGACGAGGAAAAGCACTTGTTTAAATCTCTGGTGGGTGATATGGCCAACAAGTGTCCCTCAGCTTGTAACTTTTTCCCTAGGCCAAATTGACTCTGGTTATTTCTGTCCAGCAAATCTCTAGCTGGGCCAACTGTTCAGATCAGGAGCACAAAATGTCTACAGAATCAGGACAGGGTTTTCAGTGCCCGAAGAACCAGGTGCTGCAGTAGCTGAAGTGTGGCTGGTGCTCCTCAAAGAAGGTGGAGATGGGAGAGGAAGCCATCGTGGTTCCTGCTAGATCTGTTTTTTCATTATGGATCGCCGAGTTGTTGGAGGCTTTGAGCCTGAGCAACGTTGCCACTCCAAATACAAGTCACGCATTGCTGGCTCTGGGCGACGTGCGTGATGTGTATCGATCCCTCTGTTCTCCGTCCTGTGTGGTGCGAGGAATTCCTGACCTCGCCCTGCGGCGCCCTCTCTTAGGTACAGCCCTTGAAGGCTGGATCCAGATGTGATCCGAGGCATCCTCCTCCCCTTTCAAGACGGCCACCGGAGCAGACTACCAATCCTGCCTCCTCCTCCTCTCGGTCTTTCCCCTGCTGTCAAACGCCTGAAGGGCCTCTCCTGTTTCGGCGCTCCTTTACTTTTTTTGCTGCAGCCTGAGGCAGCCCCAGTTGGACTGGGCTGCTCTTGCTGCCTGCTAGGATCACAGCAGCAGGTGGCCATTCGCTAACTGTCGCTTGAAGGCAAAGCTCCCGCCACCGTCGCGCCTCCTCTCAGCCACTGCTTCTGACGGCGAGTCAGCGGCGGGTCAGTAGCGCGGAAAGCGCTCAGCACGAGTGTCTGCCCAATTGGCGCGCCCAGGTCTTCAGTGAGAGAGGAAATCACGCTCAGAGCCTATCCGCCGTCCACGTCGCGCTGAATCAGGCCCGCGTCCTCATTGCAACCCTCTCCCCGAACGCATTCGCCTCGCTTTCTCCCGCGCCTTCCCTTCCTCCCCTCCCCCGGTCTCTCACGCACCCCCCCCGCCTCGTCCCGCCTTTCGCGGCGGCGGCTCTGTCTCCCGCACACACAGCCCAGGCGCTCCGGCTGCACTTCAGCGGCTTCTCAGCGGCTCCTCAGATGGCAACTCCGGGAGCTGGCTTTTGGTCCTTCGGGACTGAGGAGGGATCTGGCGATCCGGACAACCCAGGTACAGGTAAGAATCTCCGGCCCGCCTTTCTCTGGCACATAATCAGACCGCCGGAAGAGCGGATGGCCACCCGAAGCCACCTGCCCGCGCGAAGTTGCTCTTCGCCTAAGTCTTCCCGGACTTTTGGCATCTCCCCGTCCAATCTCGACCTTTCTGGCCCTGAAAGGAGAAGCGACTGCCGATCCCCTCAACTGACTGGGCTTCAGACCATCACAACCCAGTCAGTCTCAAGAGACATTTACCTGCTGGCCAAGGAGACCTTGCCCCGGCGAAGGAAGGCAGCCCGGGCGTCGAAATGAGGGTGAACTCTGGGCTTTCAGGCGGCGACGAGGAGACGCGCCAAACCTCACTAACGTCGCAAAGTGAAGTGGAAAGAAGGGCGGGCTGGGTGGGTGCAGGTGATGAGGTTGGCAACCCTGGATGCGCCGCTATACTGCTTTTCTTGAGCCGCGGGCTACAAATAAGATCGCTAGAGAGATATGGGCAAGGGTGCTGGCTGGGGATGATGGAAGCTGTGGTCGGCTGCAAAAGGCCCTCTTAGAAAGTTATAGGTGTTACATCACCCACCCATCCCTCGGATTTAAGGGCAATCCACGGAAAGAGCGGTTGAGCCTTGCTTTCTTGAGTTTAAAATCTTTCTCAGAGGGAAAAGGCAAAAAGCAACCCGCGCAGCTCTATCCTAAAGCACACTGCTCAGGACGCAAAAGCCTCTGAGAGGGTTGCAGCCGATGGACCCTCACTCCACTCACTCACAGGACTGATCGAAAGAAATAAAGAATGTAGCCTATAGTGTGATAAGATCTATCCGCTGAAATCCACTCATCCATCTAATGCCAATATATTGTTCTCCTCTGTCCTTAGCCAAAGCCTGGTGCCAGGCTGCCCAGAAGTTTACCGGAGGCATTTCAACCAAACTCTGCGGTAAGCATCTACCCCAAGAGGGTCCCCAAATCACCGAAAGAACCGTTTTTTAAGTAATAATGATGATAATTTCGGCAATCAAAGTAATCTCCCCGAAGTCTCAAGGACGCTTTCCCGGGAAATATGGAGATTTGGCGATCCTTCGAGGCGTGGAGGCAGGGGGGAGACATTGGAATTGGGGAGGAGGGGGGGGGCGTTTCGCTCCAGTCCCCGCGGTGCCATTGACGCTTCGCCCTTTGTGTCTTTGTTAGCGCTGCTCTACGGAGATGGCGACAAGACCACGGAAACGGGAGAGACGAAGGCAGACCCTGGTTC